TGCTGCTTATCTCAAAAATTTTGAAAGGACTCAACTACGACAACACTACTCTAGTTGATTGCTTGTTTTCACACGACAATTTTGATTGTTCTGTCATTCACACATGGGGCAATGATAAAAGCAAAGCTGTGATTGGAGGAGTCACCATACTGCAAACGTGGCACAAACTCCTTCCAGAAAATGGGAGCTGAATTCTAATTGGCTAATCGCGGGAAAGGAATGTGGTTCAGTTTTCAGCAGCCGTTAGTGGGGAGGAGCATTGCGTGACAACACTAAAAACGGCTGTGTAGCAGACTAGAGGGGAGGAGCATTGCATGACGACACTAAAAACAGCCATGTAGCAGACTAGCAAAATGGTGATCATGATGCAAATCAACACTCGCTCAAACTCTCGCTCTCTCTACTATCAAACGAAAAATAAGAGATTGTTTGCGGTTTAGTACTGTAGCAGCTTATAGTTTTTCTTCAGAAGACGTAAATGTATCAGATTTAATCTTAGGCCATCCTCTTTTTTCGCCGTTTAGTGTCGTCCAAATTTTTGGCATTTTCAAAAAAATTTACAAAAAACCGACGTAGTTAAACCATTTTTCACTTGAAATAATTCTTTAATCTGAAAAATGAGCATAGTAACAGCAAAGAGAAAAAACAGGTACATTTTTACAGTATATTGTGCATTTTGTTAATCCAAATATGTGAATTGTTAGCTTGTAACGTCATCCTGGGATACCAGGGCCTCCTATTCCGCGACTTCTTGTTATTTTTTTTAGCTTTTTTTTTTCAATCCGACCGACTGACCCAATATAAGAAAACGCCATTTGACCCTAAACGAAAAAAAAGGGGATGGCCTTATTGTATATGAAGGTAATGTTTTTTGGTGTCCTGCAGGCCATGGTCAGTTTGTTTTTCCATAGCGGTTGATATGGTAAACTTATGTTTTATATTTTCCTTTAGGTATTACTGCACCGTTTTGCTCAGTCCCAGCTAAGAGAGGAAGGAAAGAGTGCCTGAACAACCGTATTTACTGATCTTTGGAGGTGTCTTTTGACAGGTACTGTTTGTATAAATGTTTTGAATCTAAAAATACTTGTTTACAACTAAATCAGTATTTGTGACTCCAAGCGTTACTGCACCTGGAAAAAAATTGAGCATAGTATTTGCATTTCAATCTAGTAGTTTAATCCAGGTATTTTGGGTGGGGGGAAGGGAACAGTGTCAATTATTGTCCTCACTTGTATGTGCATGTGTATGTTACTCCAGGTGAAGTCAGTCGATAGAAATCAGTAACAATCAATAAATCAGTCCTCGTTGATATTATTAGTCCAACTCACAAATGTTTCTCTTCATCAATTTTTTTTATTGCTATCGGAAATCAATATCAATATTTGATTGTTATCAAATTGCAATTTTAAATATCCTCATTACTGATATTAATTATTATTTTATTGATTGACTACATCTAGTGTTAAATTTTCTGTATTTCAATGATTTCTCTCAGGTGTGTTGACATAACTGGCATCAATGTCACTGAGGAGGCAGAATTAAAACTAATATTTTTTGATCCTTTCTCTCAAACCAGACTAGGAAATGAGAGCAACCCATTTGTTGTTGATGCCAGGGTTGCTCATGTCCCAGTACATGATGACATTGAAGATAATCAAGAATTTAATGGCATGTGAGTCTTACATTAATTTATTCAAGAAGCATTTCAGGCGATTCAGGCTATAATATTTTAGTAAAATCCAACTAGTGGTCTATTACCAATGCTGCATTCTGATTGGTTGAGCTACTACTAGGCTATATGTTATAGCCTACTAGTAGCGAAAAGCACCAGTTTTGAAAACCAAAACAATGGCGGCTGAATCGCGTTTTGCTAGCGAAAGTTGTTTTGTCTCGATATTTTTTACCAACTAGTTGGGTTTTACTAAAACAATTATCCTCTCACCCTCATGGCCTCTGAGTCAATAGTCCATTCGGCCTTCAGCCTCATGGGCTATTGACTCAGAGCCCATTCAGGCTTGAGTAATAATATTATTGTTAGTTAAGGATCAGTTAAAACCAACTTTAAAGCCCAGTAGAATGTCTTCATGCATCTAACCAACTTTTAAGCCCAGTAGAATGTCTTCATCTACCTCAACTATGATTTGCTGCACTTGTCGCTAACCAGGACAACTAAGTACCAGGGCTCCTTCTTGTTCAGCGGGGCCAAGATCTGGAACACGCTTCCCCTGAGGAACAAGCATGATATTAATAGTTAAGTCTGACCTAAAAATTCACTTCAGATCCTTGCCAAATCGAGTGTCTCATACCTTTGATATACTATTGTGCTATTTTTATTTCTATTGTGTTGCAAGTTGTTTTTCTTTTCTATCAGAGCCCCGTTTACACAAGTTTTGCTGAATTGGGCATTTCCGTAAAAATATTGGTAATAAATGAACATAATTGTAAATCTCCTAGAGGTTAGAATTATATGTACCACTTGTGCACTGTGTTTTTCCTTAGATGTGCATGTTGTGTGTTGTGAAATCCATTTCACTAGGGTATTTATTGTTCATTTCAGGTTGTCAAAGGTCCTACTAGAGGACTGCAGGAAGACAGTGATGTTGCTGAGAGTGATGCATGTAGTGAAGTAGGCAGTGAAGAAGATGATGGAGTAGAGGAGAGGCTAGAGCTAATACTTGATCCTTTGTCTTGCCAAGAGACTTCTGAAAATGAGTGAGAATTTTTCTGTATGTTTCTTTATTGTTCTCAGTTATCTTGTAATATATTGTTGAAAAGATGTGCTTTGTAGTTGTGATATCATGTGACTTGTGAAATTTTTCCACTCAGAAAAAAAAAACTTTCCTATGAGAAGATTTTGTACAGTTAATAATAATCAGCTCATACATGACATATGCATTCTCTTGTTTAGGTACCCTCCCATTTTGCATTTTATTCCATGAACTTGAAGTAGACAGTCAGGTGAACTACGTAAGCATCTTTTCCCTCACAACTTACAGTGTATGCACTGTTTCTTGTGAATTACGTGGCTCAAAAATCAGCAGCCAGGCCTGCGTCACTCCATTTCCATGGTCACTTTTTTCTCCACTCCCTTGCTCACAAGAAAAAAATCCTGATTGCAGGTTACCAGCTGCCAGCACTTATTGAGAACCCTGTGTAAGCATATACTGTACAGGGTTACTTTATGGGTTACTGTATTTGAAAAATAAACAGGTAGATATTTCTACAACATTTTGTTTTTCAGAAACTATTTCGGGTTGACTTCAGTGACTATCCTGATCATGATGAAGCTACTGCTGTGCCAAACAGCGAGGATGCCGCTCTTACCATTCTTGTCTCAGAGGCTGATAGGAATGCCTATCATGTGGAGACCATTGCCGAGTCTCACCATACCTTGCAGAGTGAACTGGAAGAGGTTTACAAAAAAAAACGGGAGATAGATAAAAGAGAATTGGACTTGTCTAAAAAACCAAAAGTGTTGGTCTCTATTGATAAGATCAAAGAATTGTTTCCAGAGACTTGTTGTGCGTGTGGTGGTGCCATTTCTTTGAAGCAAACAATGTCAGGTGCTGTACTAACATTACGGTGGAACTGTGACAGTGGGCACTTTGGAACCTGGGCTTCCTCAGATGTTCTTACTGTAAGAAATAATCAGAAAGTGTATGTGAACAATTTTCAAATGGCAGCAGCTATTACTCAGTGGAAATAATTTCTTGAAATTTAGCCTTCTGGACATCCGAGTTTAATTGGTCTGGAAATTATTTCTGAAACACTCTTCTACAGAATTCAGAAGCTTTATTGCTGTCCTTCTATAAAAAGGATGTGGAATGATGTTTATAAGGATGAGTGATACATCAGCATTTCTCATCCAGTAAAGTTCTGGAAGAAAAGACTCTCCTGGGCACACTGCACAATCTGTGTTTTATACACACTCATGGAGGAGAGTCTGAAGTTGGTAGTGGACCAGGAAGTGGTTAATAGTCAGGAGATGGGTGGAAAATCAGCTAACATGCAGGGTGCAAAGAAAGTCAGTTTTACAGCCTGCCATTCGGGCAAGCTGTAGCTAGCATGTACTAGCCCACAAGTCATTTCAACTAGCACCAAAACCCTTTTTGATTAGCAGGACTGATTACAATCCTTCTGTGATTTGAATTTCCCCAAAAAACAGCACTTGCCCGCTGGGCAAGTTAAGAACAAAAATCACTAGCCCGATAGGAAAATTCACTAGCCCCAGGCTATCAGACACGACTTTCTTTGCACGCTGACATGGAAAAACTGGCCCTTACTTAATAAGATTACTACAAAGGCTGAAGGATGTACTGAAAGTAGATCATCTTGTCACAGATGCATCACCATCTACTGTATCAAGGCACTGGTGCGGGGTCTAAAAGGTATAGCATTTCATTCCAATAATGAAATTATCTACATGTACCGTAAATCATCTATTAAGCCCCCTCTCAAATAAGCCCCCCCCTCTAATAAGCCCCCCCCTTTTTAAGGGTTAGTTATAAGCCCCCACCCCCTTTCCCCCTCTATTAAGAAGGTGCAAATGGGGCAGGTGGCCTGTCTTTATCACCATGATAAAGGACCAGGGATATTGCTGTGCTGCTTCCATTTTGATGGGGTGCAAGTTCAATTGCTCATGTCCCTACCCATATGCCATTCCTTATTTATTTTCTGGGTGGAGTGTAGAAGCGAAGGACTTTCAGTAAATTTACTGATATCTTCCTTTTGCGAAAATAAAGTTGTTGCACTTAAATTGTAAGGGGTTATAGAAATTTAGTATATACACACTCAGTGATCTTGGTAATTCAAGCAATCTGATTGGTTAGCTATCTCGGACTATGACGTTATATTCACCGCGCTAGATGGTGAATATAAAGCAGAACAAAATCGCTGTCGTAAACTGGGTGTTTTGCCAATTAGTTTCATAGTAAAGCCTTTTTGAAAGTACACGAATATCCAAATGCTGATGACTTTGATGGCAAGAAAAGACTTCATGGTGTTTAAACAGGGTGATTTATTGTTAAGTGGTTAACTTCGCCTTTGGCAAATAATTATTATTTGCGGAAGGCGAAGTTAATATTGTTGAATAATCATCGTGGGGATTATTCAACAATATTGTTGAACAATTATTGTTAAATAATGTATAGAAAATGGGTAAATGACTCTTTTCAAAACTTATGTCTTAGGCCCTAAAATTATTGTTGCATATAATTATTTGCTTTGTTTTCTATTGTTTTCACAGAAGTACCAGATTTAAGGAGTTCAGTAATAACTTTAAAAGTGTTGTGGTTCGATCAATTTAATCCTGATACAGTTAGTGTTGGTAAAGTCCATTCTCAGGTTGCATTAATTTTTTTTCTCCTCAACCAAGAGAGGATACAAGTGCACTTTGGTTCAATCTGAGAATTGTTTTAACCTTCAATATAGACAATCTTTTTTTTTTTTTACTGCAGAACAACATAGAGAACTCCAGGAAGTCATCCATGACCTGGACATTTGGCACAAGTCCGCAAAACTTGTCAAGGCTTTGACTGATGTAATTATAAGGTAGATCCCAGATCTATAGTTTGTCTGATCAATATTAACCTTAAAATGCAGTGAGCATGTCTTTAAAATAAGCTACTGCTGTTTTCATAAAAATAAATATCTCAACAGGCTCCTAACTTGAAAGACTGTGGTGCTATATGTGACTGGATTGAGCCAATTATACCAAACCACTTCTGGTTCTGTTGCCAACAAGCCAATGGTGATGTGCTTGCACGAAAGGTATTGATTGTTACTTACTCTCAACCTTGTCTATTGTTACAGTGGTGGATCCAGGGGAGGGGCCCAGATGACCCCCCCTTCCTTATCTGAAGGGCTGGATCTGCCAATGTGTTATATGCTTAGAAAAAAACTCACAGACTATGAATACACTGGCAATTTATCCTAATGGCAATTTCATACAACTTAATTAACGTAGCTTACCTTTATTTTTACTGCTACAAAATCTTTGCCATCAAACCTTCGTGGAAATGGATTTCCATGCATCCATCAGAAGATATAAGTAGTTCTAGTTTATTCAAACTGTTTTGATTTGTATGCAAACCCACAACTGGCTTTGCCCCAAATTGATCAGGGAAAATTCAATACTGATTACATAAAATCTGGGCAGGGCTTCCGATTGATGGTGGAAGCAAATTTCCCTGGCACAGGTGTAATAAACAAACCTTGAACACTTCTTGAAAGCTGTATTGTTGTTTTTCCAGGGATAAACAGCATTTTGTTTCTTTTATCACTGAACAAAGCTTTTTATTGACCTTTGAAAGTACCATAGATTGTTCAGCATTTACAATGAACTCTTGCTTATTCTTCCTCCTCTCGTTTTCTTTTGAAAACAGCTGTTGGGAAGCTTTTTAGTGTCACACTTTATAACCAATCAGAAGTTTTGGTCAGATTTGTGCAGATTTTTCACATCAATATGGCTATAAAAAGAAAGAAAATTGTAACTTGCTTTTCTGCCACGTGGTATACTTTCTAGGACATGTGGCAGGATGTTCTTCATCATGTGGTAGGAGAACATGAATGGAGTGATGGCCAGTGCCCTCACAGTCTACTCGTATTATCTGATACTGACAAACCACTCCTTGGAAAAGGGTCCGAGGCATTAGAAGCCCTAACAAAGGTCATATTGGACAAGAGATGGCTAGAAAGTTTGGTCTTTTATGTTTGGTTCAAGTAAGCAATTTTGTTCTACAATAGGTAAAAATTTATGAATTTAGTATTCCTTTGCTAGATCCAAAAAAGCCCAAAAATAGGGAAGCAGCTTTTAGATTTACATATGAAATAATAGTGTCCTTTTTTAGCCTATTCTAGACCTGTACGCGGGCATGTACCAACACTTAACATGCTAATACTACCGTAATACAGTTTTTAAACATTTTTCACATAGATATTTACATACAATTTATTAAACATTATTGGGAACTAAATTGTGTGATTTTTTATTGTAGGCATACCATGTTTACTTGAAAACTTCAACAGCAAGATGCTTAAGTATGCCCCTAAAAGAAATGCCTTTGAGTAAGTATCTATTTTTTTACCAAGATCTTGCAGTCATTGTATTGCAAGATATTTCATCCTAGTTACAGTTCTACATTTACCTTGTTTTGCTTGCGTAGATATATACAGAAGAGAGAGTTTTATTTTTATTTCATAGCTTTTTGTGCCCAGGTGCTCCTTGCTGCTCTTGACCATAACATGCACAGCTTTAGACCACAAGCCACCACCAAAAGTGGTCACCTAATCTTCAAGAAGCAGTATTCAAACAGAACTAAGAATTGGCACCCTGAACCATTTAGGGCTGAAAAAACCCATGACTACATCCAGTTCCTGATGGCCAGCATCCTAAAGGCAAGAGTGGATGACAAGGAAAGTACTGCAAGGGTTATTTCTCTTCCATCAGATCACCCAAGGAATCTGGCCCCAACCATTGGCTTGCGAGAAAGCCCAGAACTGATTTATTCAAGGATTATAGAAGCAGATTTGGCTCCAAAAAAGAGTGAGGATTCAGTGAAACCAGTTTTCTGGGTGCTGATCAGAGATCCGGCGTATATTCTTTTTATCATTGTTGAAGAAACTCACTACAGACATACAGTCACTGGAACAGTTTGATTCCGCTGCCCAAAAAAATTTAAATCGAAATTTATTCATTATATTATTATTAAAAATTACTATTATTCATTGGTTGATGCATGCTGTTACTATAAAATGAGAGTCACTTCATAAAAATAATTATTTCCGAAGTTTTAATTTCCTTGTGGGGGCAAAATCTACTTTTTATTCTTCTAATGAATGCTATGTTCATTGCTGAAATATTATTTACACTGTATTTCAATGAAATGTTTTGGCACTAAAGTGAATAGCATATTTTTCAGTCAGAGACTCATGGGATCACAAGAGCAGTGGAACTGTTTATACTCTTGTCTACAGATGTAGAGAGAGAGTCAACCCTCTTAAGAAATTAGCTGCAAGCCCAGACCTGGTAACTTTATGGCTTTGGTGATAACCTAGGTCCTTTAAAATATGCTGATGATTTGACTGCAGTCATTCTTACCAACGTGATATAATAGACAAACACTCATTGTCATCCTTTGTAAATGCCTCTTAATGTTCTAGTCCGGGATACAACAACAGGAAACTAAAAAGGGCTGATTTTCGGAAAGAAAATCTTCAACATGGTCACACTTCCTCATGAAAAATGATATCCGACAATGTTTAAAATGTTTTGGTTCAAAATTGAACAAGTAACTATATTGCACCCTATCCAATGCAATGCAATGGTTTTTATTGTGAAAGGAAAGCATGAGGTATTAACATATTTTGTGGTCCTTAAGCCATGGTTATTGAATTGGAACTTGTTATTTGACTCCAGTTACTCATTTCGTTGATGGAGAACAGTACAAACAAGGAAACTGGTTAAGATTACTTTATGGCCTAGGTTCCCACTTCTTGTTGGTGGGGTAGGGGAGAGACCATAGGTTTACAGTAGACGGGGGTGAGGGGTGTGGCTGGATAAGAGACCATGCATGGGTGCTTACCATTTGCACAAACCATCTGATCGCAAATTTGATGCATAACCAGTCAACTGGTGAACTTGACCTTGTGTGGGACGAGCTCGCTACAAAATGTAGCCAGATCAGCTTAAGAGACTGAGAACAGTAGAGGAAATGTATTTCTTTGCACTACAGCCCTTGTTTTCTAATAGATTCCTAACAGAATGAGGTGAACCATTTGATTTTCCAACCAGAATGTCCAGTTTACCTGTACCCCATATGTCTGAGCAGCTGAGGAGGGCGGAGTTGGGTGGGAGATCATATCTTTAAAGGTATGGGGATGGGTTTCAATAAAAAATCATGAGTCTCGGTAATTATGGGGATCGTGAGACATCAACCTCTTATGGGAGATGGGGAGGGAGATAACTGACTAATCTGTAGGTTGCACGCGCAATGCATTATTTCCAATAACAATTCAGGTGCCGTGCGACCTTTTATTTGTTGTTACCTTCTTCAAAACAATGTGTAATAAAACAATTTATAATTAGATTCGGTTTTGTGATGTCCTAAATGATCAAGGTTGAGGTAAGTGTTATCAGCCTCAGCCTTCTGCTCGGTCGATAACACTTACCTCGACCTTGATTATTCCGGATATCACAAAAACCTCATCCAATAATTGTTTACAAACGCACGCGTGCCCGATTGCATACAAGCGCGTGCCCCACATGATAACGCGCGCCGGCGTGCGAGTAGACAAAAAGTGAGTAATTCACGTGAAACTAAAGTCCTGACTGATTTATTGGTTACTAGGACCCACAGTCCCATATTTGAAAATCAATCTGGCGACTAAACGGCTGCCTTACTTTGTGGCATTTCCGTCTGGTACTGACTGTCAGACTACGAGTAGTCCGCCAATTTCCTTACGGATAGCAGAGCGCGCGTGGAAATCACCCCACGCGAGAAATTAAAGGCGACACGCGGCGGGGAGAGAGAAACATGAGGGACTAAAGACGAAGCCCAAGCTTTTGAATATCGCTTTGAAACTTACCTTTAGCGTCTTCTTGTTTTTCTTTGTATTCTGACTAGGCACTGTTTAATTTAATACCTTTTTTTGAGCGACAGGTTTTCACCCAAATGACAGTAGAAAGAGGAGAAGAGAAGTTCTCTTCTCTTCCCTCTACTGTCATCTGGGTGAAAAACTTTTGACATCTTGGTAAGCTTCAATGCGATATTCAATGTACATTTTGCTAATTTAGTGAGCAAAGAAAATTTCACCATGCAACATCTTATAATTTTCTTGCTGTATGAATAATTAATTAGCTTAGATGGCTAGTGTTGTGTTCGGGTTCTCGGCATCCTAAGAGGCCTGAAACGCAGTCAACACAAAAATAAACATAACAAAATACTGAAAGGAAAAATTCAATGTACGTTTGCTCAATTATGGAGAAATAGGATGATTCTCATACAACGTCTTATAATTGTTGTCGCATGAATAATTAATTAGCTAATAGATAATGTTGCTCTTGGCTCTCATAGTGAGCTTGGGCTACCTGTGGTTGAGCATGATCGTCTGGGTGACAGTAATTGACGTTTCGGCAACCTTTGAGAGATGGTAGATGATACGAAAGACGAATTCCATATTTGTTTTATTTAGTACATTCAAATAATTCCTACATTGTAGGTTACAAAAAAGCCCAAAACATGCCCACTTCCATCGATGTTAAGTTCATCTTCGATAGAACATGTTAATCGGCAAGTTTAGGAAATGTTCAAATATTCTTTAAATATCAGATGTCGTCCTTCGGATTGTCTTTTTGCTATGTTTTCGCCAATATTTCGTCTATGGCCTATTTCTTCCTTGTGAAGTCTGTGAAACGAGTGAAATGTAGTCATTACTAAAACAACTCAAACTCGTCCCAGGTTTTCTCGGTTAAAGGTTCAATAATCTGGCAATTTTACTGCACTTCTTCAACTATTGACATCATTTTTCAGATATCGCAAAATTCCTCTAAATTTGGTCGACAATAGCTGGTTATTATGAATTATGCATGGTATTTTAGCCAATCAGAAACAGTGAGAAATACTTTAATAAGCTAAGGGACCGGTCATTACTTATCGCCTGGGATTTTCGGGGGGGATCACTTGATTTTTAGGAGAACAAAAGGGGGATCATTCGTAACTGAGAACCCAAAAGGGGAATCATTGAAAAATTTGGAAGGATTCAGGGGGGGTACCACTCAAATTTGCTTGGAAAATGAAGACATGGGGGGGGGATTGCGAAAGTCATCAAACGTTATTAGGGGGAATCACTTCAGTGAAGTAACATTCAAAGGGAGGATCGGCTAAATTTCACCATGTTTAGCCCCAAATCCTCCGCTGCAACCCCCCCCGGCGATAAATAATGACCCGTCCCTAATAAAAGAGGGTGGGAGTCGGGAATGCAGCTAGGGTTCGGGAGACGGGAGGTTTGGACCCTCTAGCCTTCGTCCTTTCCCCGTAGACAAGCCACAAGCTGCATGAAGCTTCCAATTAGTTTTTAAAACCTAATAACTCTTTAGGCTGTCTCAGTCTCAAAGAGAAAACAACACCACCATGCAGTGCAAAATCCATACACCGGGCCACTCTTGCCGATAGAATATCTTGGACAGAAGAGATTGGAAATTTATACCTCGCCTCTTCCCCCAACCCCTGCCCCAAATCTAGGAAAGGAAAATAGCACGGTTTGGCTTTTGCGAAGCTTCATCCTTGATTTGGGGGGGATGGGGGCGGGGGTGGGTTTGCTTGCTGTTCCATTTTATTCTGTCCAAGATTGTAGTCAAGATTGTTTTGGGATGGGCTGTGAGAGGAAAAATTTGTATCGGCCATTGAGCATTGACTCAATAACAGGATTATAAAAATAAGTTACTTTGACTTTAGACTCTACTGGCGCTTTTCCATCTTAAACACTTAAAGGTCAGTGCGCATATTTGACGAAAAATAATAACATGCGAAAATAAAAACAGACGTCACAGCACGGTGAAGTACCGTGGATTGCTTTCACTTTCGACTCGACCTGGCTTGTCCGTCTCTTTTTTCTTGGTGTTCAACTGATTCTCTCCCATTTCATTCCGGAAAAAATTAACAGTCAACAGTGGGAAGACCCAAAAGTAAGTGTACAATTAGCAGACAAGTACGGCTTATCGACTTAAACGGTTCTGTACAAAATTGTTTGACGCTATAATTGTATCACAAAAGGAGAACCGGGGGGATGGGTGTTTACGTGTGCTTTCTCAATGTCTTATTTCACAGTTAGGTGTCTGAACCGTCTCCGGCTAAACCGAATGGTCACAAACATCTATTATAATGTTAATGAAGGAATAATATATTCAAATATATTGTTCTGCCCCTTGTACTTGTGTTTGGCTTAAGGAGCAGATAACGTAGAAGAGAGATAAATGAACTGCTTTGCGAGGCAATGATGGTTAAAATACAGTAAGGCATTTAAAATGCATTAGGCTAAAAATGTGAAGCTGATACTATGACTATGGTGAATGTACTGCGGATATCTTTTTGGGGTAGGGGGGGGACAAAAAGGAATACGATAAGCGATATATCTACTTCAGTTTCGCGGAAAGCAATCAAAACAAGCACATGACCCCAACAAGATATGATTCCACACATTTCGATACGTTTCCGCTACTCAGTCTACCAATGACGCTAAAAACAAAAACAAATTTAAAGTTTTCCCTGCGCCAAGGTTCAATCAGATCACAATGCATCTCAAATCGTTTTTGTTTTTGTTTCTGTTTTTGTCTTTTTTTTGGAATTCCTGCTAATCAGGAATTTACTACACCAACGCCTGATGTTGTTAATCCGGATTTTGCTCAATGAATAACCCTTGGAATTTTCTTGCAGATAGTTTCCTAGCAAGTTTAGATTGGTTTTCAGGTAAAAACATCTTTGTTGCTACTTCCCTATATTCCA